GTCGTGTCAATAATACAATTGTTTTACCACGATGATTCACTGCCACGCCGTTTTCTTTTATAAGCTGTTCGGCTATTAGAGAAAACGTAAATTTCATGGCAAACATTTGTATACTATTCCCAAGTTGATCGGATAATAAATGGATTTTATACAAATATTTTTTCGATGGACTACAGGCGTCGTCTGTTATGCGGAAACGTAAGAAAATACGGTGACGACTCACGTCTACTGGAAAGCGCGAAAGTGTTAAACTCTTAAACTGAGGTATGCCTGTACTCAGGTACGGTAAAAATGAGGACCTTAAACATAATACAGAGTACAAAACACAATCAAATGTACCCATAGTAGGAAAACAGCATGTAAAGGATTTGGGAATAATAATGTCTGACGACCTAACATTTAAGGAGCATAACCAAGCAAATATTGTGACAGCCAGAAAAATGATAGGATGGATTACGAGAACTTTCAAATCCAGGGATCCCATCACAATGGTTGTACTCTTCAAGGCACTTGTGTTGTCCCGTCTTGAGTACTGCTCAGTACTCACTTCCCCCTTCAGAGCAGGAGAGATTGCTGAAATAGAGGGAATACAGAGAACATATACGGCACGCATAGACGCAATAAAGCATCTAAATTATTGGGATCGTCTCCAAGCCCTCCAAATGTACTCACTTGAAAGAAGATGAGAGAGATATCAAATAATATACACCTGGAAGATACTGGAGGGCCAAGTACCAAATCTACACAGTAAAATAACAACATACTGGAGTGAACGATATGGAAGAAAATGTAGAATAGAACCAGTGAAGAGCAGAGGTGCCATAGGCACAATCAGAGAACACTGTATAAACATCAGAGGTCCGCGGTTGTTCAACGTCCTCCCAGCAAGCATAAGAAATATTGCCGGAACAACCGTGGACATTTTCAAGAGGAAACTAGATTTATTCCTCCAAGGAGTGCCGGACCAACCGGGCTGTGGTGGGTATGTGGGCCTGCGGGCCGCTGCAAGCAACAGCCTTTTGGACCAAACTCTCACAAGTCAAGCCTGGCCTCGGGCCGGGCTTGGGGAGTAGAAGAACTCCCAGAACCCCATCAACCAGGATCAACCAGGTGGTTTTTGTTGTTGAGGTGGGCCTTTTGGTGCGGTTTTTGTGCTCTCTTGGTTCCTTCTTCGTCTGGCCGGTGCAGTGCTCTCTGCCCACTGGTCGGTGGTTTGTCTTTTTCTTTCCTTTTTTATTTTATTTTTATTTAAATACACATTTTCTTTCGAAAGGGGGGCTCTGACCCCTTCGCTGTTGATGGCGCGCTGGGGGGGTGGTGTGCTTTGTTTGCTCGTGCTTGGTCCTGCAGTTCGTGGGTGTTTTTGGTTGTCTTCCTACCTCTGGTGACGTCGGGTGGCAACTCCCCCTTTGGGGGGTTAGGGGCTGGTGGGGTGGGCTTCTTCCCCTGCGCTTAGTCATGTTATCGTGGTATGGGTGCACTTGGACGTAGTCGATCCGCCCCATCCTTCCGGGATTTTCGCCTGTTTCATTGCCGACACAGAACTTTGCGGATCTGCAGTTCTTCTGGACTTGTTCCGTTTGCGCCCCGGATTCTTTGCCCCTCTTCGGATGACTGTTGTCTCCGGTCCGGCTTCTGTTGGGAGCCAGATGCCTGGATGGTGTCCCTGGACCTCCGGGGTCACTTCTTAGCACGTTCCCCTCCAGAGTTCTGGGACTGGCACAGTTGGTGGTGGGGCTTCAGGCTTGCCGCTTTCGTTGCCTGCCCTAGTTTGCATTTGGCACCTCGCGTATTTACGCATCTTGACTGGGTCTTGCTGACCTGTCTACATCCGCTCTGGTTCTGGTTTCTGGTCTACCTCAATGACTGGCTGGTGTGGGCTCCCAGTCGGTCCAATTGTCTGCTCGCCACGGGTGTGGTTTTTTCCAGCTCGCCGGGTTCGGGTTCCTGGTGCACTGGAGGACATTCCATCTGGTTCTGTCCTGGGTTCGGACCTGGCTGGGTCTTGTTTGGGACTCTTGGACCACTTTTTTGTCTCTCCCTCCAGAGGTGTTGCTGTGGCTGCGGTCCCTCCTTCGGCTGTTTCTGATGGGGGTCCCAGGTCAGTCGGCGGTTGCTCGAGCAGTTGTGCGGGAGTCTGAATTTTGCCGTGCTGGTCTACCCGCCGGGTCAGGTTTGGCTTCGGTGTCTGTTTTGGTTCCTTCGGGAACGCCCCTAACGCCTCTCTCGCGATCATTAGGTTCGTCCTCTGGGGGCCTTGTGTCGGTTGCTGTGTCGCCGGCTTCCTCTTCGGGGTTTTCGGGGTTCAGTGCCTTGGCACCTCCTGGAGCCTTTGCTCGATGTGTTCACGGACAGGTCGTCTCTTGGCTCGGGCTTTGAGACCAGCGCTCACTAGGCCGGTTGGGGACGTTGGGGTCCGTTCTTCCGTCAGGCTCACAGCACGGTTCGGGAGTCTGCGTTGGTCTGGTTTGAGCTTCGGAGGTTTCGGGTCACTTGGCGTTCTACCATCCGGCTCCATTCGGATTGTTCTCCTGGGGTTCATTGCTTGAATAACAGGGGCTCTCTCCAGTCCTTGCCTCTTTGGGGTTGGTCCCTTCGAGTAGCTCATCTGCTGGATTCTCGGGGTTTGGCTCTCCGTGCGGTTCATGTCCAGGGAGTGTCCAACGTCCTGGTGGACGGCCTGTCTCGATTCATTCTTCTATTCACGGAATGGATGGTCGACACCGACATGTTTCGTTGACTCTGCCGGACATGGACGTCTTCGAGTCAGCATGGTCTCAGCGTCTCCCATTCTATGTGGCGCCCTTCCCTGCCTAGGCGCTCGTGGTGGATACCTTTCGGCAGGACTTTCCAGGGAGTCCTTCCCAGGGAGAGTAGTCCTTGTGGCCCCTTGATGGGCGGCCCAGCCTCTTTTTCAGGCGCTGCTTGCTCGGTGTCCGAACCTGGGACGTTTCCCGCGGCTCTGCCTCTTTCTGCAGGTCGGCCAGCTCCGGTACATTTGGCGGGTTCGGCCTTCTCTGCTCTTCGCGTCTGGTCTTTTTGGTGAGGGTGTATCACCATTTCTATGGTGATCGAGTGGCTTCGTTGATGGTGAGGGAGCCAGTCGGCCGAGTAGGGAGCCAGTCGGCCGAGTTAGGGAGCCGGTCGGCCGAGTGGACAGCACACTGGACTTGTGATCCTATGGTCCCGGGTTCGATCCCGGGCGCCGGCGAGAAGCAATGGGCAGAGTTTCTTTCACCCTATGCCCCTGTTACCTAGCAGTAAAATAGGTACCTGGGTGTTAGCTGTCACAGGCTGCTTCCTGGGGGTGGAGGCCTGGTCGAGGACCGGGCCGCGGGGACACTAAAGCCCCGAAATCATCTCAAGATAACCTCAAGATAACCTCAAGGTGTCCCACCTGCGAGCTTCGTCTAGGCAACTGTATGAAGTTTCCTGGCCTTCTTTTCGCCATTTTCTTGCTATTCGTAGTTTGTCATCTCTTTCAGATCAGATTGTCTTGTCCTTTCTTAGTTTTTTTCAGGACTGTTGTTTGATGCTTATTCCGTCGCCTTGTATCGTGTGGCACTGGCGGAGCCACTCCAGCTTGCATTTGGGGTGAACATCACATCCACCCCGTTCCGTACGCTTCTCGTGCTTTGTTTCACCTTCGGCCTGGTCCTTGGATGGGCTGCTCGCTTATCTTTCCTCTCCTCGGTTTGTGGTGACCCCTTTGGTTCACGATTGTTTTTCCAAGGCCCTGTTTTTGCTGGCATTGGCCTCTGGGGGTCAGGTCGGGAAGCTTCCTGCTCTCGTCCGGCACACGAGTTTCTGCTCTTTTGGTCCTGGTGGTAGGTTTGTACGTTTGCAGCCTTCTCTGTCATTTCTGGTGAAGACCAAGACGGCTGCTTTCCGGAGGAGTCCTTGGGTTATTGATGCTTGGTTTGGCCAGGGGTGCACCATGTGTTGTGCCCGGTTGCGGCTCTTCGCCGTTACCTGCATGCCTCGGCTGTGGTGGCTGGGGGTGCGGTTTGGGTTGATCGGGTTTCCCGCGTTCCCTGTTCCAGGGCTCGGGTCTCCCAGGTCGCTCGCAGGGTTATTAAGTCTAGCCAGCCTGCGGTCTATCCTTGCGCCCATGCAGTTCGGACGTTTGCAGCTTTGGCTGCCATTGTTTGGTAACATGTCTCGGGCTCATATTCGGGCAGGGGGATTTGGAGGTTGCACAGGGTCCTGGCCGCCCGTTATATTGTGAGCGTGTCTGCTCCTGGGGGTTCTTATGTTTCTTTGGGTCACAGGTTGCAGCCTGTTTTCAAGACTTCGCGTTGTGGAGTTTGTGGCGGCCACCTCCCGGGTCAGCCCTCTCTTTTCCTTCTCTTTGGGTATGTAGCTTCAGGGAGCCATAGGGGCTCCCATCAGTAAACCAGCATTGAATGTAATGAAAAGGCATTTTTTGGGTGAACCCTGGAGGCTCCTTGGCAACCCACCCTCCCCACTGTTCAAAGTTTTTTTTTGCATTGGTTGAATCTTAGCTTCCGAACTGGAGTGTTATGCAACCGGCGCGGTGAGGTCCGCCTCCCCCCTCCCTCCCCCTCCCTCTCGAGGAGGGGAGGGTTGTGTGGACGAGCGGCACGACAGTAGTGTGTTACGTTTGCTTGTTTCCTTGGGATAGAAGGGAGTTCTACCTCTCTGTTCAGTTTTTGTTGTTAGTTTCTTACCATGTGGGGTTTGTTTTGTTATGCCTACCTTTCTGGGTGCCTACCCCCGGTCGATGATGGATAAGGAAGAACCCCAACAACAGGGGCGTTTTCTAGAGCCATTGCTCCCTGAAACCTCTCTGAAGGAGCCATGTTCTGGCTCATGGTCCCTGGTAGATCTGAACACTATAGCTAATGTCCCAGTCTAATATAAAATACATTTGCCCGATTAGCTCCAGGGAGCCTCCGGGACTCGCCCAGAAAATAGTGTTTCATTACATTCAACGCTTATTCTTTTTTTTATGTACATTCACAAACAACATGTTACAGGTGATTACAGTGAGAGGGACCAACTTTGAAGCAGCCAGTACTGAGGGTGGAAATGCTAATACTGAGGATGTGGTTGTGACTGATATGGCTGTTGGTTTGTCAGAGTTCATTAGCCAGGAATTATCAAAGTCTGACCGTCCAGAATTGACTGCTGCCAAGGTCAGTTTTTCCTTTGTCATATACCTTGTAGTATTTTTGCCATCGAATGACAATAGAACATATTTTGTCTAGACTGTCTGGGCCCACAAGATTACTGGGACACTGATACCTCGGGACTTGAACGGCTCTGAACTTTCATGTTGGACTTGTTTTGAACTTAGCCTTAAAACAAGCCCAACAAGAAGGTTTGTTCCACAATTAGAAGCAAAGTTATGAATTTTGTTGTTAGCTTGTAAATAAAAAATGTTTTATTTTTATCATTGGAAACTGCTATATGAATAATTGCATCACTGAGGGTTAAAATTTTGCATGTATATGTTACTTCTTGTACTCGGACATCCTACCAAATTTCATGTAAATCTGAGATAGTCGAGTTGGGAGCAGTAATGATATGGCATGAAATGACCCATACAAGTCTTCTGGTGACAGTTTTGGCATGCTGTGGACAAGTAATTAACACTATGCAGATCAGGACAACCTGGAGTCCTGTTTCGCCTACCCGCTTCCGTGATGTGGACATAAAATTGTGTCCTCATAAAAAATATTTGTATAAAATTCAATTTTAATCCGATTTCATTGGGGTTTGTTTCAAACTGCGCGCCATGAATTTCTCTTTCTCACCACTAGGCCGCTCGGCGCATCGGCCTACCCGGTCACGTGACCGGCCCATTGTGTTCGTGTCACGTGTCGTGAGTCGATCACGCTCTCCTCGCGCGCCAAAACTAGCATTTTTACCCGTTCCCATGTGGATTATACCCAATTCATTCATCAAAAATGGATCCAGGTCAAGGCCCAAGCAGTTCTACGCCCAAGGAAGCCTCCAAGTCCTCGAAACAGGACAAAATAACCATGATTTATCAGAAGTACAGCGGAGTGAAACTCACACCCACGAAAATTCCAGGCCTCATGGAGGCTTTATCAGAGGCTGAGCATGACGAAGGTGATGTTGAGGGAGTGGAGGATGAGTTGGGATACCACAACGATTATAGGGGAGTGCAGGGACCTGGAGTGAATGATACTGCAAAGAGTGATGAAGAGACCGAGGACCTCACCGAGGAAGAGGAGGCACCGCTACCCCCTCCTCCTCCATCTAGGCGCACACGTGGTGCATCTAAACTACCTAGAAAAGTAGCTACCCGAAATGTTGCTCTTCGTAGGAAAACACAACAAACTGTGCCAAGTAATTCTAGCAGTGATCAAAGCATGGAAGTTCCAAGTGATGAGGAAGCTTCATCTGAGCCTCCTCAAAGGCGTACACGTACAGTACATACTCGGAAGGCTGGGGCTGGTGAGGGCTGGAGTCGTGGCAATACTCCCCCAATTGTTGATTTTACAGGAAATCCTGGACTGACCATTCCCAAACCTACCAGTGCACTAGCTTTTATTCAGTTGTTCTTTACGCATGCCCTACTTGAATTCTTGACCACTGAAACTAATTTGTACACCTCGCAGATATTCCGAATGACCAATGAAAACGTCTCGGATATTTGGAAACAAGTGAAGGTGAAAGAAATGGCGCAATTCCTAGGACTGTGCATATTGATGGGCATAAGCAGGCTCCCATCTATGAGGATGTATTGGCAAACAGGAAAGCCATGGCATACACGTTTCTTCAACTTGTTCATGACGTCGAAACGTTTCCAGCACATAAGCCAGTTTTTCCATACATTCAATAACAATGCAGTGCCCGTGAACAATACTGATAAGTTGATAAAAGTGAGACCAGTGATGGATTATTTGAAAGAGGTTTGCTCAAGTTTACATCCCCAAGAAAGTTGTGTTTGGATGAGGGTACAATGGCATGGCGTGGCCGACAATCGTTCAAAGTGTACAATCCAAACAAACCAGACAAGTATGGTGTGAAACTTTATATGCTTGCTGAATCAGTCTCTGGGTACATATATGACTGACGTATACTCAGGTATTGGCAAGACGATAGTGGATTCAGTAACGGGGTTGATTCAGCCTTTAGTGAACAAGGGTTACCATTTGTACATGGATAATTACTACAACTCTGTTAACCTAACAGAAAAATTGAGAGAACTTGGGGTGTACACATGTGGCACAATTAGAATGCTACGTGGCACCCCAAAGGTATTGCAAGCTCTAGCCAAGGGTAAACTTCCACTGGATACCACCATATATCGCCGCAATGACAACACCTTCATTCTCCTGTGGAGAGACAAGCGAGTAGTCTCAATAATTACCAACATCCACAATGCAGACACTCAGCTAGTTCAGCGAAGGAAACGAATTCGCAACCGAGACGGAACAAGTGGAATACAACAGGTAACAGTGAACAAACCTACTGCAATTTGCGAGTACAATAAGTTCCTGAAAGGTGTGGACAACTTCGATCAAATGGTGAAGTATTACCATTTTACCAGGAAAACTCACAAGTGGACCAAAAAGATAACGTTTTATTTCCTGCAAATGGCATTGCACAATGCCTTTGTTTTGTACAAATACAACACAACTGATCGAAAAAAGCTAACATTGCTACAGTTCCACGAGGTGGCAATCTGGGCCCTATTGCACTGGGACCCGGAGGAGTGGCCTAAAACATCATCATCTCAACACTTGCGGCACGCTCCAGACAGAAATGATGACAGCTCCTGCCAATGCTGATGCCATGCAAACTCCCGGACCATCTGGTGTGAGGCGGCCTTTGTTCACTTCACCACAAGATGAAACAGCAACCGAATCTGAACCAGAGATGTCTGCCACACTGCCATTTGACGAAACGGTTTAGTCAGATGAATCTGACTCGGTCAAATGTTTCACCTCCAGCGAGAAGACATGGCCCTATTATCGATTCAGAAAATCGCATGAACTACAAACTGAAACATGAATTTTACAGACTGCCCAAACGTCTCAAGTGTCATGCATGCGCACGGTCCGGTAAAAGGAAGGACACAAACATAGGATGCAGGACCTGTAACGTTGCACTCTATTATTCCCTGCTACACCAATTACCACCGGAAAAGGGTGTATTGGGTGGTGAAGAAGTAACCACCCGCAACAGCTTCACTCCACCTACAAACCATCTGTTGAGCAACTTCAGGAATGAAGAACCTGAAGAAGGTGGAGTGAAGAAAAAATGCTCAACTTACTGTTCCACAACCAGCTTTCCCTTGGTAAGTACACCTATTTGGTCCAAGTTTGTGTAGTATAATTTAGCTCAGAACATTCTATTGCAAACAAATTGTCACAAAATGAATGACATACATAGAATAATAATATCAGGACAGTGAAATAAGTATAAACTTTCAAAGCGCCGTATCGTGCATGTGTCGTCCCGGCACCAATACCTGGTAACAGTGCGGCCACTTCCCACACTCTTGCGGGTGGGCCGCGACCATTATTCTACGTTTATATTCATATCACCGTGTTGGGAATTTCATTGGGAGTCCATTGATACCAAAATTAACGCTGAAGGACAAGTGTGGAGGTGATAACAATCCCAAGAGTAAAAACATTTTGTTGCTGTTGGGCGCTCACGGCGACTCATCTTCGTAGTTATTTATTTGGTGCTGGTATCTCTACCTTTCGTGACTTTTTTACTGATGTTCTTCTAGAGAATTTTATTACACACATTGGTACCCAAATGAAATAGGTAGCTTGAGAACTAAGGTCAGGAGAGTAAAAAGAGTATACACATTTTTGTTTTTACGCTTAAGCGACAAAAAACGCAGCGCGCGCACACGTTTTTTTTTCTAACCTTCGCCGGGCGCACGAAAGTGTTAAATTCTGAAACTCCAAGGGTTTTCTAAAAGTATGGTGTGCAGAAAAAACAAATGTGTGGGATGTGGAGGGCTAATAATAAGGCATGGGTGACTAGGATTATTTTTACAGAGTGGATGAATGATGTGTTCCCTGCCATACAAAAATAGCTGCAGGAGAAAAATTTGCCACTCAAGGCCCTGCTTCTCGACATTGCTCCTGCTCATCCTCCAGGCTTGGAAGATGCATTGGTGAACAGATACAGTAATTTTCTCACAATAAAGTTCCTTCCTCCTAACATCACTCCTCTAATTCAGCCTATGGACCAGAAAATCATAGCAAATTTTAAGAAACTTTATGAAAGGGCACTTTTCCAGAAATGTTTTGAAGTGACTGAAGCCACAAACCTCACCCTAAAAAAGTTCTGGAAACACCATTTTTACATTTGTAGTGCTTTAAAACTCGTTGACAAAGCCTGGCAAGAAGTGACTCAAAGAACCCTGATCTCTGGCTGGAGAAAATTGTGGCCTGAATGTGTGCCAAAACTAGACTTTGAGGGGTTTGAGCCTGTAAATGAAGTGCCTATTGTTGAGGAAATTGTTACTCTGGGCTGGAAAATGGGCTTGGAATTGGATGGTGCTGATGTGGAGGAGTTGGTGGAAGAACACAATGAAGAACTGACCACCGAAGAACTCCAAGCCCTTCAAAAGGAGCGACAAGAAGAGACAGCTGAGGATATTTCTCCTGTGGAGGAGGCTGAGCCACAAGAGGATGTCCCTTCCGCAACCATTAGAAAATGGTGTCAGATATAGGAAGAAATGCAAACTTTTATTGAAACGACTCACCCAGAGAAAGCTGTAGTAGGCCGTTGCATTAATGTTTTCAATGACAATGTGATGCCTCACTACAGACAAATGTTGCGAAGAAGGGAAAAACAATCTTCAATGGATCGTTTCATTGTGAGAACATCGAGCAGTGAGCCACAACCAGGACCTAGTGGTATGCAGGCAAAACGTGCCAGAGTGTGTACCCCAGAGAGGTCCTCACTGCCTGATGTTATAATGAAAGGGGACTCCCCTTCCAAACTGTAACACCTCTCCTCCTCTCCCTTCCTCACCATCTTCCATACGCCAACAGCAATCATCAGCAAGGGTAAGTAACAACTTTAACATACTTTTGTAGTGTAGATTTTGATGAATTAGGTATAAAATTTGGTTTGAAGTGAAGTTTTTGGGTAGTCAGGAATGGATTAATTCATTTCCCATTATTTCTCATGG